CCCAGCCTACCCTAGACCAAAGCCAGCCTAACCAAGGCCAGCCTAGACTAGGGAAAACAGCCCAACAGGTGCTAAAGGAAGCTAATAAGGCTAGGCTAGCAGGCTTCTTAGAGGACCTCCCCGCTAGCTATAGGCATGCTAGGCTAGAAAATGCTAGCTATCTCGGCCGTAAGTGGCTCGGAGTCTTACCTACCCAAAAAGCCCTATCTTTTACAGACTCTGAGGTCACTGAAGCCCTCCGAAGCCGGCTTTTCTACCCAATCAAGCCTATCAGCTTACCCTGTAGCTCTTGTGGAGCTATAGCTGCCTTAGGCCATCAGGATACCTGCAAGGGTGCTAATAGAAGGTGGATTGCAAGGCATGACGCTATAACTAGGGCCTTTGTGAGAGCCCTAAGTAGCCAGCCTACCCTAGAGGTCGAAAAAGAACCCCTAGTCCACCCAGAAGGTAGCCTAAGGGCCGACTTTGTAGTTAACCTAGGAAATAGCTGCTATTACTATGATATTCAAATCGTAGCTATTTCAAAGGATTCTGCTAAAGAAGACCCTTATAGCACCTTAAGAGAGGCTGCCGAAGAAAAACGCAGAAAATATAGGTCTCTCGGGGCCTTTTTTCAGCCTCTTATTATCTCAGCAGGCGGCCTTATGGACCTAGAGACAGCTAAGACCTATCAGAAGCTCCAGGACCTTATTGGCCCCCTTGCGGCTAACCAGCTAGATTCCTCTATTAGCCTTGCCCTGATGAGGACTAGGGCGACCTCTGCGGCTTCTATAGCCCGAGATACCCCTAGTAACCTAGCTAGGTCGATCTGGAATACCCCTAGGGCTTCTTAAGGCTTTTCTTTATCCTTTACCTTTTATCTCTTATCTCTTATCTCTTTGCCTTTTTCTTATTAGCTATACCTCTCTCTTTTAGTTATATCTCTATTTCCTAGCTATACTTCTCTCTTTTAGTTATATCTCTATTTCCTAGCTATACCTCTCTCTTTTAGTTATATCTCTTTTTCCTAGCTATATCTCTCTCTTAGCTATACCTCTTTCCTAGTTATATCTCTTATGCTTTTTCTTTTATTATTTCTTAGAAAAATCTCCCCTCTTTTATCTATAAGCTATATCTTAGCTAGAAGAAACCCCTAGGGCAAAATAGCTTAGATAGTTAATAGTTACTCTGTTCTAACCCCACCCTGGGGGACAGTGCGAGGGTTAGGGTTAGGACTGTGTTCACACTGTGTCCTGCCAGCACCTCTACCACCACCTCCCTTTTCTACCCCTTCTACCTCCAACAACGCTCCGCGTCACCCTCCCCGGACGTCAGAGGTTAGTCCTTCCTAACCCTCACCTCAGGGTTAGGGTTACCAGTAAACAACACCTTGGTCCCCTCAAACCAACCCTCACAACCACCCGCAACCCTCTTAACTTCCCAAGTCAAACGAAAACCTTAGGTTTAGGTTCGGGTTAGGGTTACGGGTAACGGCCAAGGGTTGGCTTAGGGTTACGGGGTAACCGTCAAGGGTTGGCTTAGGGCAAGTCCAAGAAACCAACCAACCAAACCCTTAACCGCCACCTAGGCCCTGGGAACCCCCCTATAAACGCGCCAGGACAAAACAAAAACCGACTAGGCAGCAAACCGTGCCAAGCAAAAAACTTAACCGGAAACTAGGAACCAGGAACCAGGAACTAAGAACCAGAAACGGCAACCGGAAAACAACCACTACCAACTACCAACCAGAAACCATAGCCGGGAAACTCTAACCGGAGCCAAGAACCAGAAACCGGCAAACTCTATCCGGAACCAGGAACCGGAAAACTCTATCCAGACCCAGGAACCAGAAATAGTAGCCTGAAAACTCTATCCAGAACCTGGAACCGGAAACCGTAACCGGAAACCGTGATAGTAACTACTCGGTTACCTTAAAAAGCCCAACCCTCTATACCCTTCTTAACCTAACTCCTACCCTTCTAACTCGCCTCTATAACGTACCCAGCCCTAATACCTCTCCCTTTCGTCCCACCACTAGCTTCGAGAGCCAAAGGAAACATATAAAGAGAAAGACCCAACGAGCCGACATAGACGTAGGACCAGAAAACCTCCCCACCTAGCCAGCCCACTAAACTAGCCAGTAATGGAAGAAACCAACACAGAGAGCCAGAAAGTAGACCCAGTAGATAAGGAGAGAAAGAAAGGCTAAGAGGGACTAACCCGGAAGCTATCGGCAGATAAAGCAAAGAAACGACCAGACGGCGACCCATATGACATTTCCAGTCACCCTATAAAAAGAGTCCCAAAATAGACTTCTTTCCTACTCTCTCCCCCTCTCGCTCATCTACTTAGATTCTACAGTATCGGCACCTTCCTTCTAAATTTATTCATTTATTTATTTATTCATCGCTATCAAATCGATTAAATCGTCGTTAGAGCTATCGTTATCGTTATTATCGGATATATTGATTGTTCGTCGTCTATCGTCGGAGCCGGTTATTGGTCATTGGTCGTCGCCTATCGTCGCCTATTGTCGCCCCAATTTAGCGCTATGTACTTTGAAAGTAGAGAAATTACTGCCCTTAAAATCTAGGGGGCCACTCTAGCTTTATCTCCCGCTAAACCCCTATTCTTACCCCCTGCTCCCTAACCCCCTGCCGTCACTAAATCCACCAGCACTCTAAAATTTCTACTAGCTTATTAATCCCCCGGTCTCGACTACTAGCTACGCTTACCACGACCGGCCATTTATCGCCAATTATTCAATTTATATACTATTATTAAGGATTAGCGATAGAATTCGGCCATCATCGCATCTCATGTTTCGGCTCTTCTTATTAGAACACGGCATATTAGTGGGGGGGAATTACTAACTCCAGCTCTAGCTGCCGCCCGCATTTGATTCCGTTTCAATCCCCCCTTCCTGCTAACGGAAATCCCGGTAAGTTCAAGCCACCGCCCACTAACCCCCTGAAAATCCAACCTCATATAAGTAAACTAATATCCACCCAACCCTCTCACCAAACAAACTTCTGCCTTTTCCCGACCTATACTAACGGCCTTAATCGACCGTCTCTTTCGTCCAAAATAGTTCCTCCCGTTCTTTGCATAATCTGCGCTTCCCCTAATACTCGCCGCTATGCTGTTTGCCTTTTAGCCGCCTACTGCTCTCTAGAGTATCAGTAAACCGACTAGCGAACCCATCGGCTTCTTTGCCGCAAGTTCGCCGCATATGCTCAACATAACTTTGCCACTCGCCCTTCCCCTAACCACTACCTCGCCATTCTCTTTCCCATAACTAAGAAGCGGCCGTCCCTCGTCTAGGTGGATTCCAAAAAGGACGAATACGAGGTTAGGGACTACTTCCACCTAGTTCTTAATTACCTCTTGTATATCCCCGGCAATGACTATATCGGTCGTGGCCTACGCTAAGTCAGGCGCAATGTCCTTCGTGGGAGAGAAAACAACCAGGATACCCTACATATATGGTTCCTGGATCCAGATATCCCTCCCCGCAACATCATAACCAATTAAGCCATCCATAGTATAATCCTAACCCTAGTAGGCGATACTTAGGGCGAGTTTATCTGGAAAGGCCCAGTTATTGTAGTCATAAGAGCGGGCACCGACTTTGAACCACGCTATTCCACCGATATCACCCTCACTGCCTACCGTGATGCCATCGACTACCTAGGTTACTATAGAGATACGATCGGCAGCATGATCGATGAACCTGGTCAACACGACTATCTATCCAAGCGCGTGCTGGCCGATAGGTCCTTAAAGGTCATTGGTGTCCGAATTAACTGCCGCCGTGACTAGGCTACTCGGCACGAGCCACAGATGGTCGAGGTGGCTATGCCCAAGACGCACCCTCTATTTAACCTCGAGGGCGACAATCTATGCGACATCCCTTTACTCTTTGGCCTAGAACTAGTTACAAAGGCATATAATGGTGGCCTTTGCAAAGAGGATAATGGCCCGCCGTCTGATAACCTAAAGAACCCTCTAGCCGAGCTCCTCCTGACGACAATATCTATTAAGAACGGGGAATAGGTTCGTTTGCTAAGTTACCGGCGTTATCTGTGTCTTAGTAGCACCCTTTTCGTCCGCAGGTCTAAGCGGGATCTGCAGATTAAAGACGTTGACGCGCTCTATAACTTAATCGAAGAATTTGCGGTGCCGTTTATGTTGAAGGAGGATGTATCTAACCCCGATGTGGAGAATAGGCTAGTAGAATGACTTAAGAAAGAAGGTTTTAGGCGCGGTATCCAAAATTATTGATTCTTACCCTACCCGCCCTATATAAGAGTAATGGATTATTATATAGAGGCAGAGTCCCCTAGGGCGCGAATTCTCCTAGCATTGTAGAATAGAACTATAGGAGGAAATATAAGGCTTAAAAGTTTAATCCGCTGGGCAATTAGCCGCCGTTGTCGCCAGACTAGCCCGCCTACCCTGCACATAGATACCCGTTTTCTAGGTCCGGTTAGCATAGCGTGTTCGTAGGGCTACTTATTTATCGACCATATTACCTTTTCCATAGGCGAATTAATTAATATTTCTTCTAAATTCCGCCTCTGAAAATCTACCCTATAAGCTATATAATGATGCGCCTAGAAGATAAAATCTCGCGCACTGACGAGCGCCTAGTTGGTTTTTCTTAACCCCCCCTGCACTATTATCCTAACCTGCCATAGCTAACCAGCGTAAATCCCCATCTACCCTCTCTAATACTTAACCCCCGGTTTATCTTCTTAACTTCGGGCTATACCAATACGCTCCGTGAAATAAGGCTACGAACTGTCTATCTGACTAATTATTTTGCAGAATATAGATGATTATACGTACGATATGAACCCACTTATATATAGCTAGTTGGCAGGCGTACTTAAATGTATAAATTATTATATAGTCGCCTTTTTTGCTGCCTAAAACCCTCCCCCTTATTCACTAACTTAATTCATCCCCTTACTCTTAATATTCGCGACTTCTATCGACACTTTATACTATACGATATAATGACAACGAAAAAGCCCCCAATATCTATGTCTATGCTATTAGTAGCCGATAAATCACCACCGAAACCCAATAATATATCGCCTCCCCCTAAAGGTTCGGAGGACCCTATTGATAGCTTCTTCTCGTTTGTCGAAGAGTACTATGCCGGTGACGAGTTTAAACGCCTCAAAGGAATATGCCAGGAGAACATAAGCCTTAAGAAGAATCTCAATGAGCTCCAAACTGCTTACGAGCAGAATATCAAAGCACTCACAAGGTCAGATAGTAAATAGCAATCCGAGTATGATAAACTGAAAGAGGTCGACCGCGCTAGAGATAATGCTGTAAAGCAGCTAAAAGACGAAAGACAAGCCTCGCAGGCGCTTAGGGATTAAGTTCGAAATATAGAGGAGGATGTGAAAACGGTGACGGAGATATCTAAAACTTGGGAGTCCCGGGCTATCGATCTGGATAATAAAGAGAAGGCGAGAGCGGCTGACTTAGAGAATGCCTAGAAAGCGAAAGAAAGACTTGAAGGGGAACTAAAATCTATATAAAAGCAGCTAAAGTCTAAGACTACGGAATTAGGCTAGGTTTGGGATAATTTTAAAGTGATTTGCTCCTTTGTCGTTGAACTGGAGAATCTTAAAGAGAAAGAGATTGAGATATATATGCTAACGGCTGATTCCCTCCTTCTATTTCGTTATGATCTAGGTCTAATGATTGATATTATAATGCAGCCGGACCTTATTGGCTAATTTCTTCGACCTTGCTCTCAAATATATAGAGACTTTCTTATATAGTAACCTCGATAATGCTTGTTTTGCCGACTACTCCCGCTGGAAGGAGCTCCGGGTGTAGGTATTAAGCAAGTAGCGAGTCCCACTACCGGCTTCTAACTCGCTAGCTGCCAAGCAGATAAGAGTCGTCGCCGGCCTTATCATCTTTGGTGAAGCACTTGCTGAGCATATCTTTAGGCCCACCCACATCACGCATGGCGGCGAGCTCGACGAAGTCCTGGGTCACCTCGGCACCTAGAACCCTCTTTAGGAGATGTATGTCCGCAGTGCCTTGCTAAAGGTGCTCCCCGATAGGCAAGAAAAGAACCGGGCGGCTGCGGTTAAGTCGGTCGCTGCACACGTGTCGGGTGTATTAAGCATCCTAGTGCCTTCTTCGCGATAAGGGGAGTTTAAATCCGGCTTAAAGCAGGTCTCTGGCCAGATATGCCGCGGTTAGTCTAAGGTTCAGTAGCTGGAAGAGAGGGTTAGGCCTAGCTTCTCCTTCGACTTTTATAAGGATTAGCAACCATTACCGCCACCAAGCGCTTAAACCCCCACAAAGTCCAGCTCATCGCTATCTTCACAGTCATCGACACAGCAGAAAGGCAGACGCCAGAATCAATAGCAATCCAGCACCCTTCCTAGCTTACTAACGGCCGAGGAGTTCAAAGAGGTTACATGGCCGGCATTTCTGGCCATAAATCCTAAGCAACCACGAGAGGAGGGGGAGGAGGAAGAGGGCGCAATCTCCTCCTGGGAATTGATCCACCAGGGTTACGTCCTTACAAAGGCATAAGCAAAGGAGGCAAAGTAAGAGAGAAATGCCGAAGAGGAGGTTTCTCGTAGGTTTAGGAAGACCACTCGGCAGAATAGTAGTAATCCTTGACGGCCATAGGGGAAGAGGCAAGACTCGGACATAAACCTTCTTTTTCGCTCCCTAGGAAACTCGGGCGGCGCGGCAGACAAGCCGTAATAAGTCGGCGATATAGAACTCCGTAAGAACTCACTCTTGTTTGTCTATTATGGCCAAATTTGTGTTATTCGAACCGGACTTGGCCCTTTCCCCCCCAACTACTTACTTACTAGACTGGAGATAGGTTATAGCCCAGAACAACTATAAAGTTCCGAGACCATCTTATACAAAGCGCCTTTATATAAGCTCCGACACCTAGCACGCTATTATCCAGCCATTAATTAATTAATCCCGCTTACTTAAGCTTCTACTTATATTTACTTATTTCAGTATCGTAATTAAAGTAATATACTATTAGCTTCGCAGTGCCCTGCTAGCTAATTTATCCGCCTCTATATTCCGACTCCGAGGTACATGCTAGAATAAAACCTCGACGTTAAGCTTATTTAAGTTTCTAATTAATCCGTCTAACTTCTTAAAAAGCTCCCAGTTCTTTACCGGCGTTCCCTTGTATATTCGGTAGCCGTTATTCTCCCACTTAAATACCCGCTTAGTTATCCCCTTGACCAAATACTCCGAATCGGATTTAATGACAACCATCCGAAGCTGTTCCTCTCTAAAACACTGGCTCTGTATATCTATTACCTGGCGAAGCGTAAGGATCCTAGCCCGTAACTCTGCAACCTGGTTTGTTGCGTTCGGCTCGGCTAAGAGAACGCTCTTGTTGTACTGGGATGTTTTGCCGACGAATACTCCGGCCGCTGCCCTAGCTCCAGTCATACCATTCCCCTCACACGCCCCATCGACTACAATCACTATATAGTCTATATGCGGTGCTAGCCAGTCGCAGTATGGACAAAGACGGTCCTCGTCATACGCCACGTACGTCTATTCCTCATCATAACTGCTAACCTCTACATCATCTAGCTTTATATTATCTCTATACCGTAAACTAGGGTCGAATTTTCGGTCTTTCGCCAACTTAGAGGTTCATGATTCGCAGTGTACGTGTGGGGGGAGACCCATAGCGGGTATCCTCGAGTAGGGGTATAGAGTCGATCTCAAAGACTATAGGGTATCAACGACGGATGTAATGGCACCTGACCAGTAGATAGTCCACGTATTATAGCCCGGCATTTATTCTAGTCACGCCAAAAGAGATACAGAAAACGCTAGGCATGTCTTTGCATGTTTGAAGAGATCATAGTATACCGGGTGCGTGCGGGGCTAAGGAGGCACTAGCCTGCGACTTTTGCTGCAAAGCTGCCTTGGTGCCTGAGTTTTCGCTTCGGGCCCCGCGCGATAACCACAACCGCAGTCGCGTTAGGGTCGGTTCCCTCTTACCTTACATATATACTCTAGGTCAACGGTGCCACGCCTAAGCTCCAATCTAGCAAATGGTTCTATATATATCAATGAATTAAGCCTCTTGCTACGCACTCAACGTAGCATGAGCTATTTGCCTCCCGTATATATAGCCCACTAAGGCAGATCAGAGATCTATCTATTGCTCTCCCTCTTATAGGCGAGTCTTTAGTAAGCATAAGAACGCCGCCCTACGCAAGAAGAGACCGATTAAGGAAGTTATTAAGAACAATAATCTGAGTGTCTCTGGTCTCCCCCGCTCTAAGCTCGTCCAAATCCTATAATATCTACTGAAGCGAGGCGTATTCGAGTTAAGTATCGCTGCCTAGTCTGTCTTCCCAGAGCTCTTTCTACAACCAGCGAAATAATAAGAGCTATAGAAGATGCCTGCACCTCCTGACTAACGCGACTCCGTCGTAGAGAAAACCACGGGGTTACTCGAGACGTAAGTTAGGGCCCGAGTTATTGCTCTCAGAGCGCATTCTTACCGGTTGATCAGGCTATGGAAATCCGGCATCTACTCGGATATGATACTTATCTCGACTGAAAAGAATTATTAAGCATACCGCGCTATCGTGTGTCTCTAGTCTCTAGTCATATCTAAAAAGTATACTTTCGACACTATAAACACAAGCTAGATCAAGCCGAATAACTTCACTAAGGACGATATTACTATGGTATCTTTTAACTTCCTGGATGATGATCCTCGGTTAGTCGATTGCGTTATTTAATACTTCTACTGATCCGACTATAAAGTTCCACGATCCACACCTAGCATAGATGACGAAGCAGACGTGATGTATAAAGAAGACGCTAATGAGTCGGATGCGGACGACGCTGCCTCGGACGATTCCCACCTAATTATTCACGTCAGAGTATTCGCGCTCGCAGAGAAATACGATATACTACCTCTTAAAGTACTATCTCTAAAGAAATTTAAGGCTATAGTCCGATTGCGCTAGAAATCTAGGTATCTAGTCGAAGCTGCACGGGAAGCATATACCTCTACTATAGCAGATATCTAAGATATGCGAAAGGCTATTGTTAATGTTTTATTTATATAAAGAAAACTATTAGATAAAGAGTGTATAAGGGAGCTACTCCGAGAAGTGCCCGAGATAGTATATGACCTACTTATGCAGTTTTATGATAGGATCAAGTCCGAGCCATACCTGTCGATATATTTCAGATAATTGATTATCCTATATATCGAAGCATTACTTTACAATATATCTATTTTACTCATCTTTCAGAGCGTTTCTAACGACCTAATAGTCCCCAATGGCCTTTACTAGTTTATTTTATTTATTTATCGAGCTGTATACTAACTTAGCTATATATATAGCCCTCTAGTTAGGCTTTTTCCGAGTTCTATCCCGGAAACTTATATTAATCTTATCATAGACCACAGGAATAATAACAAGAAGACAAACAAATCCCATACCCCGGAAATTAGTCATCATCTAATTGCCTAGAATATGCCCCCTCTGCTAGAAACTAGAATAACTTTAGGAGTCGTAGGCATCGCAAACCCCTAATTTCGTCCATCTCCTCCAGCTATATCCGAATATGCTCTAGCCCCTTCTCCTCCAACCCGCTCTAGTCCTACTAGCCCATCATCTCCAGCACTATACCTCCCAATCGGCTTACACTAGTACCTATAACCCTACTATGCACCACCATGCATGCCGTGATAAACCGCTACATCGTCTTAACCCAAGCACATTACGCCTCACGATACTATACGTCATGCTCCTCTTATGCCTCCTTTTCATTGCTATATTTTAGATCTATCTCTTCACGGTATACTATCCGCTAATATAGCAACGTTGGGAATCGATAATGGCTATACCGCGCTCCTAGGCCACCACTACGTGCCTAATAATATCGAAATATCTTAAGCTAAGGCTACACTTCCTCGGCCTCTGTCCGGTATGAGCAGCGTTTGAGCTTGTATGTCTCCACAATCGGGCCCCATTCATAGAAAGCATAAAGTGTACACCGCACACGGCCTCCGCGGGCGCGAATGAGGTTACGCACCCAATAAATCAGCGGGTACTTGGCTATATATGCACCCTGATCTCGCTCGAGTGGGAAGGATTCTGTTGCTTTTGCGACCTCGGCACGGATGAGGCTAGGCTAGAATAGCCTTATCCCCGGCCGGGCATTATCCTAGGTCCTAGTGGCCGGTATAAGGACTTGATATAATATATCCCTACTCTCGCGGGGTTAATTAGTCCCTTGCTATTGCCTTAGCGGCCGGGAAGGTAATAAGGACTAATCTATGAATAGGTATCGGTCACTCTGCGTATTAGACGGCGTGTTCTGCCGCCGTCTCTTTATTAGTCTCCCCTTCCTAGGGAAAGGTAGTAGGAAGATAGACGCGGGGATAGACTCGTGAATATTATTATCTGCTATTATAGAGGGAAAAGGTCGGTATAGGATGAGAATAATATATTATTCTTCGATTATATTCTTTAATATTTATATTTAGCTAGACTAGTATAGATATAGAGATAAAGAAATATTAAGTAGTAGGAAATTAAGTAGTAGGAAAAGGGGGGTTAATTGCCCTACCTTCTCGTAGTATTTACTTTTTATTCCCCCTCTACTATCTAATTTATATATAACTTAAGCGATAATTTATATATTTTTTTTATTTATCTAATAATATCCCCGATCATATTTATCTAGGTAGGAGTTACAAATAAAACCCTAGGCATTATATGCATAGCTTACTCGAGATAGTTCTATACCTATACTATATCCTCAAATCATTAACCGCTTAACCGCATATATACCGCGCTATTATTATCATTATCGCCGCCACGGTCGTCTACTCGCTAGACTATATCTTAACCTCTAAGAAAAAGATAATAATAGAGTAGAACGCACGGATAGTTAAACCTAGGGGTGAAAGAGAAATATAGAAAGCCTCATTAGGAGGACTAGTGCGCATAGATACTTACCCCTAGGTTTAGAGGTCTAGAGGTCCATCACCTATAGGCCCAATGCGGTTTTAGGACTCTTACGCTGGACAAGTTCGAAGGGGAGACTAGGTTTACTTACATTATTACTATTAAACCTACCCGGTTTACCTTTAATAAATATTATTAAAACCACGACTCCTCGCCTTCCGCTTAGCCATAATACCTAAACTATTAGTAAATAGACCTTTATTAAGGACGGATAATGGGTTTATTTACCGAGTTACTAGAGTTATTAGTCTCTTAGGGAGCATCCTTTTCATCCATCGTTCTAGACGAGACCTATAGATAGAAGATATTATTACGATTCGAAACCTTATAATCGAAGAGTTCGCGGTATCCTTTATTATCTTAAAAGAGCGATATATTATTATCTAATCCTAATATAAAGAGAAGGTTACTAGACTAACTTAAGTAGGAGAGTTCTAAACGTAGCATTGGTTATAAGCCTTACTTTACGCTAATTACCTCTCAATAATAGATATAATTTTCTTCTACTAGGATTAAAAATAGTTAAAATATGACCTAGAGCATTTCTAAAGATATCGCATATTTATTATTTAGGCTACTATGGCTCTCCGGTATCGCTATTCTCCCTAGTTAAGGTTATTACTTCCATCCAATTAAGATCTATTATCTTCTTCCGTTATATCGTCCATCTCCTCTTCATCATCAGTTACATTACCAGAGATATTATTATCATCATTATTATCTACAGGGCTAATATCCCACTGCGGAGGCTCAGCCTAATTTAAGAACCATTCTAGGAGAGTTTAACTTTGTGCGGAGGGCTCTATTTCCTATATCTTAACCTCTAGGTGGCTACGTAGGTCATATTAATTATTGCTATTATTAAGCCGACGCCTCGTCCACCGCAGGCGTGCTACGAACCTAGGCGAATGACTAGGTACTGACTATATGGCGTTAAGTAAGCCAATAAGGTTATCCCGGGTTAGCAGGAGGATAGTCGGTTGGCTCACTATAGATTCGAAGATCCGCCTCGAGATATGCGTCTCCTTCATAGGGACCTAGAAAATGTCCTCCTCTTTATAATTATGCTGCTTATAAACGTCTAGTTTCTTAAGAGACCACGGCTATATAAAGTTTATATCCCCGTCCCTACCCCAGGACGGGCCAGCCATATAGGTCACGTATAGTAATGCCCGCCGGCAATGGCGTCGAATAGTATTATGATGACCGGTAGAGCGTAGACATTCGATATTATTATCCCCTATAATCTCTACCTAGCGTATCTAGGCTGCCCTTTTAAAGCCCTGAAAGTCCCGAGGTGATAGAATCATCGGAGTTATATCAGGGGATAGACCCTCGGGGTAATCATCGCGGCGATATATAGACGATAAGAAGGTATCTTTATCTCCCCGAGGAGGCGAGAAGTAAGGAGCCTAGTACTAGATCCGGAAGAAGGATGGCTTGCCATAATGCTAGGTGCCCGGGCTATGGCTTATGCCGACCTCTTTGGTGGGGTCACTATTGAAAGCAATCTGGATATAACGGCCGATTTATACGCTAAAGCGGCTATTAAATGGGCCTGCCGACGCGCAGATACGTTGCCATATGTCCTTAAATGCTCGGTAGACTTAGAGGAAATATAGTCGATCCTAGGCTGGCGGCTTAGAGTGGCCGAATAGTTAACTAAATAGAAAGCCAGATTAGCTATTCTTAGGTAGTAGGCGCCGACGCGTGGCTATCTAATAAGGTAGCTCGTCGGGCAAAGTATCCCCTGACGAGGGATCGATATTAGATGATGATAATAGCATAGCTTTACCGTACTTAGCCTATGCCTCCGTGTAAATGCCGTGAATCGTCTGGGCTGTGGGAATACGGCTGGCCTTGGCCGTAGATTCTACCTGGGCTTGCCGTAGCCGAGTAAGAACTGGTAAGTTTTGGCGCCTATAGTCACCTCGTACTTTGTCCTAGTACGACTCGATCTTGGCAAGGAAGTGTTGATGGTAGGCTCGGGCGGTCTCCTCGATAGTAAGGACGATAGCCCGGCCAGCTAGCTCCTCGGCTTCCTCACTATGCCCTTGATTATATGCTCCTCAAGCGTCGCGAACTAATTGTTAAAATAGAAGCTCGACGGTGACCTAGGTAGTAGTGAGAGCTTAAACGTTGGGCTAGTATGCTAGCTTCGCCTAGAGTGGGCTCCGAGGCATATAGAGATCGACTAGTACCTCGAGCGAGATATGGCCCCGCTGCTAATCCATATGGCCATAAGGGATCTAGAGTATACCGGATTCTTTAATGGGGCGGCCTAGACCGAGACCTAGCCGCTTCTTAATAGAGCCCCTACTACGGCCACGAGCCCGCGCCGTCTAGTCTAATCGCCAAATCTAATTATCGAAATTCAGCCCCTCCTCCTCATCGTCAAGTGCATAGATAAGGAGGCGACAGAAAAGCTAAGTAGTATAGAACCTAAGTATCTGCCGGATATGGTCGGTCGAAGAGGAGGAGGAGGATAATAATGGCTGCTCGCCTTCTTTCCTTATTACCTCCTGGAAGATATGGTCGAGTGGAAGGATTAAGCGAGTAGCTTATATAGACACGAAAGAGGTCATAACTTCGGTCGGAATAACCCAAAAGGGGCAATATATCCCGCTGGCTCTAGCATTACTATCACTATGATCACTGAGGGGAACGTCCTAGGATATCGGCCCGGTATAAGGACTTCTACTAGGTTCCAATACGCCATCGGCCCACATAGCGAGAATAATATCGAGCCGAAATGTGACCTCCTTCCGGATGCCAAAGTTTAGGTGCCGGCGCAGAGATAAGATAGCCCTTAGATGCCGCTTATTAATATCCTAGGCATACAAAAGGTAAGAGCAGCTAAGCTAAGGCATAAAGGCTTATTGGCGATTTTGGTCTATGCCCGCAAGGTCTTTTAATATGCCTTCATCAAAGGCAAGGAGAGGGAAATAGCCTAAGCTAAAGAGCTAGTAATTACTAAACATGAC